CGACTGTATTTTGTCACAAAGGAATGTCCCATTAACAGTGCTGTAAATACTACGAAAGGGTAAATCGCTGGACAAAGTGCTCCATTGGAACAAAGTACATTTTGGATGTTCTGTTGAAGAGTCACATCCAAAATGTTAATGTGCATCTCTCTGATCAACCTGCGATGAACTTCCAGAATGCGGGAGTTTCCTTTTTACCTCGACATTGCGACCTGGGGTCTGGAAGTCCATCTAGTCTTAGTCTGCGAGACCATTTAGTCTTAAAATTTAAGGTTGCATCAAATTATCGAAAATTCTTAAATTTAGTCTGTTTTTTTTCCACAGCTCTTAAGAAGCTCCAGGTTCCAAATTAACACTGAATTTAAGAATTTTTCTACAATTTTGCACAATCTTTAATGTTAAGGTATATATAACACAATTTTACATTTATACATTTGGGTCACATAACTTAGTGAGGGCAAAAGTATAATTTACATCAGCTAAAGTAACTTACTAATTCCTTATCTTATCATTGTGAACTTGAAAAGTTTCATTCCATGGGAAAAAAATGTAAAAGTTGTTGCTTTCTTAACATTGATTTTTTTATGCACCAACTAAATTTAGAGTCTGATAAAAAAACACACACAAAATGATTTCAATTGGAAAATAGCGGCGGGTAGCCTTCAGATAAACCCAGAAAGTAGAGCAAATAGACTATACTGATCTGAGGCAAAATGAAGCAGGATCAAATACTCAATGGGTAGAGACGTTAGCAAGCATGAAATGAGACGTTCTGTAGGCTGACTGTAGTTTCAAATATAAAGATCCAAAATTCCACAACTACCACTTTAATTATTCATTCAAGAGTGTTAACTCCTCCATTCTCCTGCCACCTGAGATCCCTTTTAAAAACATACATTTTTGCCAATTTCCCCCACTCCCCCCAGTAAGTGTTTGACACCTTTTTCCTTCTGTTGAGGTACAGTTTCACACACACTATTTGCTCTCCTGTATCTCACTCAAGTGGCCATTATTGACAATATGTATTGGCAGCCTATTGGACACTGGGGGACATCTACAGCAGGGTTTGTTAGGCAGCGAGTGATCAGGAGCAGCAACCCTGATCAATGTTTCTCCCTCTTTACTTGGAGTGCTGACGCTGACTCTAGTCACTTTACCACTACCCATATCAACTCGTTCAACTCACACTTGGAACCTCTGCAACTCAGAAAATTCATTTATCAACGAACTTTGTTGACTTCTTAGTTACAAAGTGCACAATTGCACACATTTCTAGTTCTGTCAACTTGGAAGAAGCTACAATCAGAATCTCTCTCTCTCACACACAAACATATTATGCTATATAAATATATATATGTGTATGTGTTTCTGTGTAAAATATACATTTTAAGCAGGAACTTTTCCACATAATGCCATTAAAGCAGCTCTGCAATCCACTGAACATAATCCACAAAATATAATGGACCCAGAGGGGAGGGCAGGGAATCAACACCTTCTAAGAAGATGAATACACCTATACCTACTAAGAATGGGTAAGATGAGATCTAAAAATGGCCAAGGTTGTCTATCCTTTTGACTGTACAACCCAACACGACCATGCAGCACAAAGCACATATCATACAAAATAAAAATCCATAAAAATACAAGAACGAATTGGCAATTCCATGACAAATAATAAACTGCACACTCACCCCCTGTTTGATAATAGAATAAACCACCTCAGACCACTGACGTCGCTAACGCACTGCATTACTGCCTCTGGGATATTAGATCAACCATTAAATTCTTTCAGGAATGCTTAGTCAAACATGCAACATCTCTATTTACCAGTGGATCAAAACTGCAACAGTGTCAAATACATTTACATGACCACCTGAGAGTACTTCACTGCTCCAGATTCTGTGAGGACACCCACATTGGGATATTCAGTTCATCCCTAGAGTCACAAATGGCCTATGAAAGTTTTACTCGGAGGTGGAATAAACTAAGTGTTCTGAAGCTCTGCACTCTCTAGTCAGTTTATACCACACAATATCATGTCAATGTTTAATATAATATCTTCCCACCCTATGATCTTGGAAGCAAAGGCTTGGTTTGTTTCAAATTGATATTTTTCCCTTCAAAAATGTTTTTAAACAAAGACAAGTTAACAATTAAATTAGCAAATTTTCTGGAGAACATAGGAACGAATGGGTGAAAATTCTTTGAGGCTGTTCTGTCGTTTTGTTAGATAATGACAGATCTTTTACTGCTAATTCCTTGCCTTTTATCCATATCCCTTGATATCCAAGTATCCATCTTATCTCCCTTTTAAACATCCCAAATGATTCTCCATTGGAAGGGAAAGAAGATGGGTTCTGGACACGGGGAACTTGCTGGATTGGACTCAGGAGTTGAAATAACTCTAGTTTAAATGTTATTTAAGTTAAATACTGTTCTCTATTAAATGATTTGCATCCCATCCCTCATCTCATATATGCATATGAATGGTATAAAGGACAATCAACAATTCTACCACGATTTTGGCATCACTGGAATCTTCAGTTAGCAGCACAATTTTCAGCTGAAGTCCTGTAAAGGTTGTCCTTTCAGTTAACATACAGAGCCACTTTGAAACAAAAATAAAATCCGGGTTTCCACTATAATTGATTTTAAACGGGTAAATTCAGGACAGTAGACTGATGAGCTACGTCGTGCTGACAAGACAAGAAAGCAAATCAACTGGAGGAGCAGAACCAAAGTTAAAGGCAACTGATTACAGTGTCACTGAGTTCCAATGCATAGACAATTTTTTTTACACACGCAACACAAAACATGGGGAATATATTGATTTATATACATATAAGCAAGGTGCAATTCGAAGTATAGAATAACCCTGTGCTGATTCTTGAATGGCTGTTAAGGACTGAGTAACTAAATGATGCTTCCTTAAAATGCTACAGCTTACCGTTGCCTCATTGTCAGTTTGCTCTTCTTGAAAATACTTGCTCTGCACTGTGCCATACATAATTTACAAAAAAATTACAATGTTCAGAAGCAAGAAGATTAGAAAGCTGTCTCATTTGATTAAGTTACACTTCTTTTAAAAAGGTGGATCCTTATTAAAAGGAATAAAGAAGAAACAGCTCGAATGTAAGTAATATTGTGCAAACTTGTGATTTTAAAAAGTGGCATTTTTTTCTTTTTTTCTTAGGTATTTCATTCTTTAGTAGTTTAGGTGCTTTGAATATATAAACATCGGAGTCTTGGCTTCCTACGAGATCCATTATTTGATTGTCTTGTGCATTCAAAGTTCTTAATGTGTAAGTTTTGCTATGCAGTGTTTAGTAGGCAACTGGATGTCTTAGCTATTAATGTGCAAAGGCATTTAGCTTGGGTACAAAGAAATGGCTTTTTCGCCATAAAAATAATCAGTTATTAACCAATTGTTCGAAGGCCAAACCCATTTAACTTTTAGGAGAATATTTTTCTTTCAAAAGGAGCATATAGTATTTACTCATCGATCCCTCTCATTCCAGGCAATTTCTAACAATTTCTCGTTTCAACACCTTTCCTCCTTTCCACCCTCCTCATCCTCCCTAACCTCTTCCAAGATTAAATGTGCCATAATAATAATAATATAATAGGAAACTCAAGATAATGCAAATAGCTATAGAATCATCATAGCAGGTGGGTGCAAGTTGATTTGTGTTCTTTGCCAACTTATCATGCAAACCAAGGATGCCTTAATTTATTGATCAACATAACACTGACAGATTAATACTGATCATTGAAAACTCCTGCCTGGGGTCTGGATTCCATCTAGAAAGTATTGGTAGATGGGGGTGGAGGTTAGCTAGTCTGTTTCTATGAAGCCTGCAGCATCCATAACAAGAAAGTTGCAAGTCTTTCATATGGTTAGTGCTCCGAGACTCGAAGTGCGCTATACAAATGCAAGTTGTTGTTCGTATGGTTCTTATCATGGAGTTGGAGCCAGCAGCATCTCTCAGATACCCTCTACATTACTGTTAATGGTGGACACAATCATAGGGACAGTCATATTTTATAATGTGTATTTATCAATTTATCCCCAGTTTAAAGGAATAGAGCTGCAGAAAGTACAGTTTCATTCCCAGGCTGTTAACATGATCAGCCAGTGTGTTAGCAACATGTTCAGCAGCAGGGACTCTGAACTTGGGGAATCATTTATGGAAATTGGGCTGAAGGATAAGTTTTAGAGAAACTCTGAATTATTTGAAAACTTTTTAGCTTCACGAACAAAAGCTTAAAATATTAACACTTTAGTGATAGCCAAAAAGTAAAAAATATATTAAACAAGAGGCTTTAACTCTCTGTAGGTGTCGGAATTCATAAACATTGTAGGAATTAGATTTAGCACCAAATATAGGCTGTTTAAAATGTCCAATAAAGATGGGTTCAGGAAAGCCAGCCCTCTGAGAAAGGTTTGTGGACCTGAAATGTTGACTCACTTTCCTTTCTCCATAAATGCTGCCTGACCTGCTGAGTGTTTCCAGTGACTTTTGTTTTTGTTTCAGATTTCCAGCATCTGCAGTATTCTGCATTTTATTTATTCTATTACTTTAGGTGGTGTGAGACATCATGTCAGTGGTGGAAATCTTTTTATTTTATTTGATACAAATTATTTACCTAAAGCCCAGCAAACCCTCATTTTATTGTGCATTCATTAAAGTGCAGGGGACTGCCACAGTGGGTCAGTATCAGGCCACCCAGGTCAGGTATTGATAGAGTAAAGTAGTGTAATACAATAATGTACCTTAACTCAAATCCCAGAAGAACACTACTCTAGTGTGAACATTTTGTACCCCACTTATTCTTTTGGTCAAATTGTGGGCAGGTTCTCGCTGTTGCTGCTTAAACTTGGTATTTGACAAATGCAACCAATGACCAAAAAATAAAGTTTCAACTGTTAGCTGGTTGGGAATCCAGGACCCAGAGGTGAATGGATACAATACAAAAATTTTATTTGGTTAGTAACCTAATGCAATTTTCCTATGTTAATTGTGTATGTGAATTGCCGGTTTATTTGAGCATGTTGTACGTAAAACAAGCATCGCTCGCGATCCTTGGTAAAGCACCATTATGAGACTACTGAATAGTAAGGCTATACTTCTCAGATATTGAAGAGGGATGGCTTAGAGCTGTCATTGTTCTCCGAGCCCACAGATGTGTGCCAAACGAAATTAAGACTTTACTTCGCTTTTCACCTTACAAATACGTTTTGAAATTATCCTTCAGATAAAAAAATCAAATTGGTTTGGCCTTACACTACAGTGACTAAGATCCATGCAAGGGAAAATTCATACGACACCTGGTGTTTGGAGTTCCTGACACAAACAATATTCTACCATACTGTACATTTGGAAACTAACAACCACACACACTCCACAAAATAAGCAAGAATGTGTACAAAAAGCTACGTCCACAAAATCACTAGTACCCGCATTAATGGAATGTTTCCAACCATATCTAGGAAAAAGGTACCCTATGAAGTGCAATGAAGCATTGTTCAGTAGTGCTAACGTAGTTCACAGACAGCCAAGCTGCTCATACTCCCATTTCTAATCTTCAAAGACTTCCAGGAATAAAGGAGGGAAAAGTTCTGTCGGGCATTCCACCTTCATATGAAGAAAGCGGCTTGCGTGGCAGGCTCCAATCATTCGCAGGTCGGTCACCTTCATCAGTAGTTTTGGCCAAAAGTGAGTAACGTTATTATGTTTGCGATAATTAATGTAGTGTTCAAATGCAAGAAGAAAGGACTCTTGGTTTTTTTCTATCTTTTCTATATTGGTAAGGCCAGGTCGATCTACACAGGAAAAAAAAAGAGCCAGTGTTACTTAAATCAAACCCATAAAACCAAATTTAACATGTTAAAATAAGAACAGCCTGTTCTTTGTCAAATATCAGGCCAGAAACTGTAATACAATTTGCATTTATATAGCACTCTTCGCAGGGTAATATCTTAGAGCACAATACAAAGACAGGGTTGGATGCTGAGCATGGGAGAGGGGAGAAGGGAGGTGGCCATAAATCTGGTCAAAGAGATATGTATTAAGGTGGAACTTAAAGTTAGCTAGCGAGAGAGTGAGATAAAGGGGTAGGAGGGAGGGAGTTCTGGAGTTTAAGGGTACAGAATCTAAAGGCTCAGCAGCTGATAGTGGCGTCAAGAGAGCATGGGATGAACAGCAAGTGATAATATTAATAAACTTAGAAAACAAATTCTGTTGCTGCAGAGAGCTGAGAAAGTGGTACTCAATGATAAGTGTACGTGGTATCATAATGTTTTTTGTTGGCAGCAATGCATCAGTTTATCAGTTGTATTATATAACAGATAAAAGTACATTTGCAGAAAGTAAAATGTTCAAATCTGCAAATCCGACCGTATTAAGCAATGGGAGGATTTCGTTCTACAACAACAACTTGCATAGCATCCTTCATGTGGGGTAGTGTCCCAGAGCTTTTGACAGTGATGGAGTACGACTCCGAATTGGCGGGAGGTGACGATCAAAGAAAAAGTCTTTCAGGCACAACATGAAGATGAGAAGGATGGGCACGGCAGGGTTCTAAACAAAGCATGAATGCCTAAACCAGGTTTTGCTCTTCCTCGTGTTACAGCGCTATTGTGTGCTTATGTTTGGGTGTCTGAATCATTCTGCAGTTATCACTAAAGAGTAGGTGACATACTCCCAAACTTTTAGCAATGCCCCTTCTGAACTGGAGCTTCGAGAGGTGCAAGCCAAGAGGGTAAATAATGACTGCCATAATATTTTACAATTCTATGATTAAGAATGTAGGGCAAATGCTGAAAATCTGGTTGCTAACAGCAGGGTGTTTGCTTTGAGACATAAAACAAAACCGTGTTCAGAGCTGTGTAATCTGTAAGGTCAGATAAATCAGACAACATTCAGTTCAGCATTAACATTTTCATTAACATTCAGACGAATTTGGCAGGATTTCCCAATCTAGTCGTGCCTTGTCAAAGATGTGATGCTGAACGGAATTTTCATCCATGTAGATTTGAAGGAATTAGTTTGAACTTTGTTTACTGTTTGTTTGTAATGTTCAGCCATTAAGTAAGAAAACAATCAGAATGCAAAGCCAACTCCAAGGTTCTTACAGGAGCATGTGGATTAGTGGAAGGTTTAATGAGCGACTGCTGGCAACTGAACAAATTACTGTAATTACAGATATAAACACTAGATAAGTAGGTAGCTTTAATTTCCTGGGAGGGATCAAAACAAAGCTTAGTTCGATAAAAAAGCAACAAAGCTCTTTTTCTGAAGGCGTTGGTATACAGTTCTATGGATGTCCTCAAGTGCTGACCATTCTTCAATGTGTTAGGCTAGACACTGAGTACTGACAGGCTTTGTGACTGTAGGAACATCACATCTCAACCCACTCTCTGTCCACTCTCAACACCCACTTTGCAACAGGTGTCAATAATAGTAATCAGCAACCTGGCTCATTCTTATCCCCTCGCTGGCCCATGGGGATTAAAGCAAGCTGTTGTACCCCTACTGTATCCTGGCTGAAATATTCCAACTCAGCACAGCTCAAGGATCAAACCGGAGATCTTCCTGAGGTATGGCTCAGTTCCACACTGCAGTGAATTAATCATTATTACAATGTCAACATAATCTTTAAAGACGAGGAGGCCCAGATCTTACATGATAGTATGGAACTACATGCCACTGAAGAGTGGGAGATGAAAGAGATCAGCAAATTACAGTCGCTGGTGTCAATGCTTGGGCCAAGTGAGTGAGATTAATCTCGATGTTGATGCGGAGGCTAAGGGCATGGGCACTGCTCAATGCTGTTACTAACAAATGATGTGCTGCATGAAGTGACAATTCCTGACAACCAAGAAACACTTGGAGGATACGACCCATTCAAAAGGCAAATATTCATGACACATTCTCTCGGAACAGTGAACTTTTATTTGGTACCAAATACCAGCAAAGGTATTTAGATGTCAACCAACTTCAAGCACGTTTTGGTGAAATTAGGAACATAACTCCCACAGAACCTGGATAGCTTCTCCCCAATCTTGAGAATGAGTGCTGAACATGACTGAGTTGGATTCTTTAGGAAGCAGCATGGTACAAGCACATTCTGAACCACCCTGTGATCTGAATCTCTTTGTCTTGGTTTCTCAGCTTCAGTTACACATTATAGAATTTAGCACTGCCATCTTTTCTTCTAAGATTACTTAGGTGTTGAACAGGTTGAAAATCATTCTCTTATAGAAAGCCCAATACTACAATCCCCTTGCTACATGTGCATGTATGTTGCAAATTTGAGGGACATTGACAATAAAAGCTGGGAACATGTAAAAAGTGTTTATGATGTGAGACAGATGCAATGTCTGGAGCAAAACAGCCTGTGTTGGCTGTTAATCTTAAACAGATGACGAAATAGTGGAAGGAACTATAAATAAATACTATGGGCTTGTAGATGTTTATTGGGATTGCAAATTTTAGTCTCACAATCTGTGAAAAAGAGTTCTATGTTTTACAATTCAATACAAATTTAAATTTATATAGTTCCTTTCACGTCAGGAGGACATCCCAAGGCACTGATCTCTCAAGATTTAGGAAGGCTTTGATGTTCTGTAGTCAGAATAGAAACCACATCATGTGATAAAAGGCTTTGCAATAGGAATAAGTGTAACATGTTTTGAAATGACATTTGTTTGAGATCCTTTATAGATTAACAAGCAATTAGTTCAAAAAAATCTTGCATTTAAAAAAAAACTCTTTGAAAACAAAAAAAAGGAGAGTGGCTTGAAAGAAAGTCTCTCTTTATCTTAGAAGAAACACTGTATTTGGATTCGAATCACAGTTACCAAATTAAATCAGGTAATTTATACCAAAGTATAGTAGACACCAGATTCTTGTTTTATACTATTTATCATAAACATTGCAATAGCGCCTTATCATGTCATCAAGATGTCACACAGCAAAATCCCAGCCATGAAATGAATGGACCATTTTTGTTGTGTTCCACCAGGTAACTTGTTAATTTTATTTTATACGTGTTGGAAACTTGGATATTTAGTTATTCTGTTAATTGATGAACCAAAGTTTGTTCTAATTTAGATTTGTGTTTGCTTTTCATTTCAGTGAATGTCAATTGAGGAAGAAAAGTGATATCTTTGTGATTCAATGAAAATTCTGTGTAGTTTCATTATCTGGCTAGGGGCTGGTCAATCTGAGTAGATGGCTGACGTTAAGCAATAGCTAAAAAAAACCCAGAGGGTAAGTTCATAATAATAATCCTTGCATTTGGATATAGCGCCTTATCACGTCTTCCAGACGTCTCAAAGCGCTTCACACAGTATACTGTAAAGTGAATTCACTATATGTTTTGTAGTTGAAAAAAGGTGGCACGCAGTGCCAACATTTGGCCATCTATGAGAGACAGAGGTGAACACTGCAACCTAAAATAGCGACGGCATGTCGATCAAAACAAGTTGCTTTTTCGCCAGTAGCAAGAATACTTGTGCAAATGTCAAACTGTGCATCTGATTGAGCAGTTTTATACTCTGCAATGGTCCTTCCTGCAGCATCATCTGAATCTGCTATGAACAAAACTGATGTAGAAAGCTATTGCATTGTATGAACTCTCACCCTATAGAGACAGCACTTACATTAGTCAGATGATGGTATGCAATGCACCTACAGTGCAAAATAACCCCAGTTAAACCACACTTAGACGGACAAATGGGGGGGGGAGAGATCTGGTGAGCCAGAATTCCTGGCTAAGTGTAATTACAACGCCGGTACCAGCATTGTAAATGCCAATACCATCATTGCAATTGTTTGAATCCCGCAAGGTAAGCAGAATGCATCCATCCAAAAAGAGAGTGTGCATTCCATCTTGCGAATAAACTATCTTCTGTTCATGCGAATCAAACATTCTGAGTCAGAGATGATATCCCTAGCCACTGAGAAGGCTTTTTAGCATGGCCTTGGGGTATGCTAGGAGAATTTTAGCAGTCGGGAGTTTACACGACGTGTGGAAATTGTTTCAGGTCTGGTTTGAATTCTGGAGATCTTGAGTCCGTTAAAGCATGGGGTTACTTTGTTCAAAAACTTTGTGTATGTGACCATTTCAGAAATAAACTAGTAGTAATCATCAGTGCACAGTAGTTTCTTTTTCATTCACATTGTTCTTAATTACTCTGCATCTCATGCACCTTGGCCAGCCATGCAGGCAGGCAACCCAGCTTGAAGCCTCTGCCAATGGTTATGAGCTGTGCACCAAGAGGTGTACAACAGTAGACTGTAGGAACAATCCAATTCGCTTGCTCTCCTTTCTGGGAAGCCCCAGGCTATATCATGGAGTGATGATGCAAGTTTGAAATACATTCCAAATCTTTGAAGGTTATAATTTTCCCCACAGACTCACGGTAAGGTATTGTTCCACAGGTGTTAGTTAGCTTTCTGAACAACGACACTGCATGTCGGCAAATCTTATTTGATTGGGGCAGGGTAATTGGTAAGACAAGGGGAGTTATGGCCAAGCCTGACACTCGTACACAGGCGCTATTCAATGGAATCACAGAAACACAATGAAGCATCCCTCTATTTCCCTGGGAGAGACAAGCTAACCAGAACAAATCAGGGGCCTGCTTGTTCTATAGGATTTATTACTACACCACATGGAGCTCTTACCTACCATTGGGGGAGCAAAAACTACAGTTTTAAAATGTATCTACTAACTGAGGAGTCCTGTAGCTTAGTGGTTAAAGAGCTCGCCTCGGAAGCGAGAGGGCCCGGATTTGATTCCTGGGAAGGGAGAAACGTTGGGCAAGTTTCCTTACTCCACACCCCTCTGTTTACCCAGCAGCAAGTAGGCACCCGGTTGTTAGTCGATTGACGGATTGCTTTTCCAGGGGTAATAATTCCTCCATACAATATATACATATATATTTTGGTCACTCAATTCATGAGTGTTTGTGGGAAACTGCTGTACGCAATTGGCCACCACGTTTTGCGGCTGCCACGTTTTGCCCACAAAATAGTCAATTCACTTTAAAGTATATCCTATGAAGCACTTTGAGACGTCTTGAAGACATGATAAGGCGTGATATCAAATGCAAGCATTATTATTATCATTTGTCAAAATGTTAAGATTGCCATAAAGCAAATACTTTGAACTCAGAATGTCTAAACATTCTTTACAGCTTTTCAAAGTAAATAACACTTCAAAATTCTTGTGTTGTTTCTAATTTTAAAAATTCCAAACAAGAATACTTAAGCACATTTTAATTCTTTGCATCCTTCTCTCGAGAAATCCAAATGAAAACTTTCTTGTGATTTAAAAGAAAAGATTACTGTAAATACAACAACAACAACAACAACAACAAGATTCCATTTATAGAGCGCCTTTCATGTCGGGAGGACGTCACACAAATCACACAAGTTCAAGTTGATTAATGGATTGAGACATTCAAAGCAAATTACTTTATACGATCACATCTATAGACATTAGCAATCTAGAAGATCAGGAATGTATAACTTGTATTGCTAGTCTGTATGAATAGAATGAACCCTTAGCCCACCCACAGTCTGAGAAATTGGTGCGTGGTGCAACCAGAGTGGTTTTAAAGCACTACCTTTGTGGAGTCCTGTAGCTCAGTGGTTAGAGCACTCGCTTTTGCAAGTGAGAGACCTGAGTTCAATTCCAGGCAGAGGGCAAAAAGTTGGGCAAGTTTCCTTACTCCACACAGAGCCTAATAATAATCCCTCCAAAACCAAAAACAATAATAAATTGGTCATTTTCAATCTACGACTGTTTGTGGGACATTGCTGTGCGCAATTGGCTGCCGCGTTCGCCCACAAATATACAGTCAATTCACTTTACAGTGTGTTCTGTGAAGCGCTTTGGGACATCCTCCCGACGTGAAAAGCGCTATATCAAATGCAAGGATTATTATTATTATTATTATTATTATTATCTAAGAAAAGACATTGTACCTGAAGACATCAAAAGCACAGCCTGGAGTAGAGCGACTTCACTGTCGTCCAAATTGAATGCAGACAGAGATATTCCTAGATCAAAGATTGCATCAGACACTACGCCAAGGCCTCCATTTTTTAGCTGTTCTCTCTTCACAGCTATCTCGCCATTTAGCGTTAAAGTCTCACTCTCAGGGTCATAGCGGACTGCTGCCCTGAGGGACATGATTTCCATACAGCAGCCCTTCAGAAGGATTATCTGGTCTTCACATGGCAGCTAGAAAACCAGCAGGAAGGAATCAGTGAACACCTTCAAACAATAGCTCTCGAGAAGCAACATGATTAATCATGATGCACTATTAATGTGTGAGTACGTGCACATTGTGTGTACAAAGAGAAAATTAAAGTAAATCGTCTGAATACACAAAACAATTAAGGGAGACATTGAGCTACATGTCGCCATATGTATACACCTGTAGTGAACATTGAGCAAGTGTTTGTATAATTAGTCACAAGGAAAACGATCTAAACACATGTTTTGGATGATAAAGAAAATCACTTTTCCTTGCTCCTTCACTCCCTATATTACAATCTCAAAAATTGTGACTTAAATCAAAATTCTCAAATCGCTCTCCACCCCCCACCCCCACACCCATTCATCCCATCTTGGTGACCCTATTGTTTTCGGAAATGGCGGCGAGATGTTCATCTTACGCGAAAGACCCCATGTAAGTGCAAGTTGTTGTGCTATTCATATGATGAGAGAAAGGACTGATTATTTATTTTCCTGTGCCCATCTCCTGAAGATAATCCCAATTTATAAACAAATATTGTACAAAGAACGAAGGAGAAGATAAGTATTTAATATTTTACATTTTCTACACATCTATTAGAACTATACCAAATCATGTAACTTGTTGTGCACGAACTTCCTGCAGTTGAATATTGACAAGTTAGAAGCCATTCACCTTGACCCCCGTCAATGTCTTCGCTCCTGCGATTCTGACCTCCTCAACCGCCCCGGCCTCTCACTATGACTTATCAAACGTGTGTAATTTACTCGTAAGGATCAATACCCAGCTGTCGTTCCTCCCCACATCCGGTTCCTGACCAGAACTGCTTTCCTCCATCTCTGTCACATTGCCTGCCTCCGACCGTACCTCACATTCAACACAGCCAAAACCCTCGTCAACGCTTTCGCCACCTCACGCCTCGACTAATCCATTGCCCTCTTCACTGGTCTCCCCAGTTCCACTATCCACCAAACAACTAATTCAAAACTCTGCCGCCTGTACACTCTAAACTCCAAACCCCTATCACACCAATCCTTACCAGGCTCCACTAGCTCCCTATTATAGCATGGATCAACTTCAAGAGCCTCACACGCATCTACAAATCCCTTCTCCCCAGGCACTTCCCTAACTCTCTGACCTGCTTATACTCCACAACACCACCCGCTGCACTGCTTGGCTGGCTCCGGCCTCCTGGTTGTGCCTTGTCCCCTCCTTTCCATAATCGGTGGCCTTGATTTCAGCCATTACGCTCCAAGCTTTGGAACTCACCTCGCTCCAGTTCGGCGCAAGGCTACACCACTGCTAAGCGCTCTGAGATGCTCCCCTGCGTGAAGGGTGCTATTTAAACACTAACTCTGGTTGGTGTAGACTGATTTTTCCCTGACTCCCCCGTGCCCGCTACAATATCTGAGGCTCACATTCATGACGTTAATTAAAAACAAACATTTTGATGTGAAAGCAATCTAAAACAACCCACTTTTTGATCCTTGCATTACACTGTGATTGGTGTAAGCTTGAAGTTCCATGTGATAGCTTCAGCTCTGATTACCCCAAACACTGCATTCTTTGCTGGGTCCTCTACAACCTTCCAGAGAAGCAGGGTCCATCAGAGAAGCACGGCCCGTCAGAGACAAACAATTCAAAAGGAGGAAATGGAATCCTACCTCACAGAACATTGGTAGCTTTTTGGCAAAATCCACCACCCTTGTAATTGCAGGTGTAATGATTTTTGTAAACTCGCTGAAGGCTTCCAGGTCAACTTTGCTCCCTTCGGGTGCATTAACTATTGGTGCTTGTCCAATATCCTCAGACTGGAAATGAAAAACGGTATATGACAAGCTCAAAAGCTGTTAAATGAAATGTCTTTTTTGGTATTTCATATCTTTATTATAAATAATAATAAACTGAGAAAGGACCTTCGTTTAACATTTCATCAGAAATGCAGCACTTCTAACATTGCAGTGCTCCCCTAGAACTGGCACTAAACTGTGTGAATTTCAAGTCCCATTGAGGGGTTTGAACCCACAACCTTAAAATTTATAGGTGAGAGTGCTATGGACTGACCCAGGTTGATACCTGGGCATAACACTATTGGGATCATTGTATGATGTGTTAAACAATGAATAGAGCAGACCCTGTAACACTAATAATAATAATCCTTGCATTTGATAAAACACTTGATCATAAGTAGTAGCCAATTGCACACAGCAGTGTCCCAGAAACAGTCGTGGATTCAGTGACCACATTTTTGGGGGGTCACTCCTTCGGATCAGCTAAACTTAGTTTAGACTGAAGATCAATCCTGGGACCTTCCACTTTGTTTGGCTCAATTTCACTCCAGGAAAAGGGTTTGTGAGCCGACAGACAAAATAAAAGCAAAGAAGCATTCTTTCAAATTTCAAACGCAGCGCAATGTTTATTACTTTGTTCTTGGTTTATGAAATAGTTTTTAGAAAGGAAACACAGCCAAGAACATGACTAAATAAAGTAAATGGGTTTAGTTTTCACTTGCCTTACAAAGGCTTACCAGAAATTTACGCTTCTGCTTCCAATGATTTCCTTGGGCGTTGGTTGCCATATGCGCCTCTGTTACAACTCTAATAAGTTCCCACTCCTCTTGTGAAGGCTCGGGTTTGGTTACAAGGTGTTTTATCACTTCTTCTCGGCGCCTCTTTTCTCGGTTTTCCTCTATTAGCTTGCGTTTTGCTAACCGTTTGCCATCATCCAGCACCACTATTGCACAAAGACACAAACACAAAGGACAACTGTTTTACTTCTGCATTTCTAGATCAGTTCTTTCCTACAGTTGTTGCTGCATTTAACCAAATGAGAAAGTAATTGCTAAAAGTTCCTCAACAAATATCGTGGTTTTGAACCTAGCATTTATTCTCAAACCTTTGATTTTCAAAATAGACACAAATAAAAAAAATAAATACCACAATTCATGTAGCTTTGTGATGACGTGACATTTGGGATCCGTAAAATTCCATCTCTTGTTATAGCGAGGCATGATAGACGGTTTTACTGTGCGTGGGAGGATGTCAAAATGTCTGATTTTCGGGTCAGTGGGTCGCCACAACATCATTTCCTGTTTTCTGTGTGTGCGCAAAGTGGGAAGTGATGTTGACAGTGACCTGATGAGCCAGAAGCTTGTTATTTTTGTGCCCCCCAAATTAACCGCAACATGTGAAAGAGGCGCATGTGAACACTAATGAATGAGGGATTGTGTTATGTTTTTATAATTAGGGAAAGAACCTGTTCCAATGATGCTGTTATTCAGTTTATTCCAAATACATTGGATTCTCAATATAATGTAGTGTTTGGGGTCCATAAAATCCCATCCCCTATTGTTGCAAGGTGCAATAGTCATTTTCACTGTGTATACACGCAGCTGGCCAGCTTGTTCACTGTCTGCTGGCTGGTTCACCTTCAAGATCCTTTCATTCGTTTTAAAATCACTTCCTTCCCTCGCACCTCCCTATCTATCCAACCTGCTTACCCCCCACTCCACCACCTGTTGGCTCTGCTTGGCTGGCTCCAGCCTCCTGTTTGTCCCTCGTGTCCTCCGTTCCACCATTGGTGGTCGTGCCTTCAGCCACAACACCCCGAAACTTTGGAACCCCCTCCCTCAATCCCTCCTCCTTGCCTCCTCCCTTCCCACCTTCAAATCATATCTAAAGACCTTCCTTTTTGATCGTGCTTACGGTCATCTCCCCCCTCCCTCTTCCCCTGGCTCGTTGACAAACTGTGAAGTGTTCCGTGACACTAAACCATGTTAACCATGTGAACATGTGAAGGGCGCTATATAAATGCAAGTTGTTGTTCCTGCGCTAAATGAAAAAAAATGCTTCTGGGCATCATTTCCTGAATGCTGCAGTCAACGATGTGGGGCTAGCACCCACAGCTTTCTGACTCAGAGGTGAAAGTGCTACAAACTGAGCCAGGCTGACACACAAAAAGAAAGTGCAGTGAATGGGTTCCATAATCCAACCATGTTTGAGCCAAACTCGTACTGTGAAGAGATGCCTTATAATGTGGCTGTACTATACAATGTTCTTGTGAACAGCCTGCACACAAAGAGCAGTAATGGTCTGAAGCAAACGGCAGAGTAAGAGATCACAAAGAGTGATGGGGCTAAAAAACAGAAGTATCTGAAAGATCAATGTGAATATAGCTTACAATCAGTCGCCATGCCAACTGTGATGCACTTTTTAAACCGGCATTCTTGACATTGATTTCTAGTCACTTTGTCAATGATACATTTTCCTTCATATTTACAGCTGTAGGATGGATGAAGATTTTTCTGTATTGTTCTCCTGAAAAAGCCCTAGAAACCAGGAATAAGAACAACATGTTTTTTTAGGCCACCTTATGTTACATTGTAATATTTAAATTAAATACTTAGGGAATGCTTAGATTAACACAGGGAAATACCAACAGTGGCACTCAATATAAGGTTGGAGTCCATTAAAATCCCAACCCACTTTATAACTGGGCCACTAAAGCTGGTTGTCAGTCCTACATTCACTGTGCATGCACACAGCTAGCCAGCTAAACTCCCGAGTGCTGGCTCGTTCCCACACCTAACCATGTCTGACTTCCAAGACATCAGATACTGCCTCCACTTCTCATGCCCGCCAGGCAAAGAGGATGTTGTGGCTGTTGACACCTTATGCTCATGGTGAGAATAAAACGTAGAAACAAATACAGCCGAATATTTGAAAAGAACAATGCAGCAATGAGAAAATAAAGACTAAAAGACTATTGACACAAATGGTGGGAAATCTTACCAGCGTCTTGATTTACTCTATTTACTTAGCATTTTAGAGTCTCCAGAATGTAGCAAATTGTTGAATTCAGTTTTAACTTTGAAGTCAGATTTCTGTAGCTCTTTAAAGAATTCATAGGAACATAGCGTCAAAAATAAGGCCATATCTAAGAATTTGTCAAATTCTGGATGCTCTGAAATGCTACATAAACAGAGCACATCTAGACCTGGGTAGAATTTCTTCCCATATAAGTACCAAGTGCTCTGCAGTTTCATTGACAGAATGGTTTTGAAAGCACCACAGCATGAAACAAAAATGCGACAGGAGGCCCTGAAATTCAGTGACTCTGGATAATTAGGACACAGACTTTTTTTTAATGTACGCTTTTTTCCTTTCCTACTTTTAGGAAGCAAAACAGTAAAACAGTAATGTTAACAACAACAAAATTACATTTGTAAAGCGGCTTTCATGTCGGGAGGATGTCCCAAGGCGCTGAACTGTCATGGATCAGGACCCGAGTGTTAAGACACAAAGCAACATGACTAATGTTGATATTCAAAGTAGAAGACTAGTTAGTTTTGGGGAAAATGCAACCAACGTGTACTTTTTAATCACTACCCTAAAGCTGGGCTAGAGCAGACGCATGTACTTTGGTGAAAGAAATTTCTGGGTACCGATGGCTCTACAGGATGGTGGAATTTGTTCGACTTTTTTTTTTACCTTGCAGCCTTCACAGGTGATGCAGCGATAGTGATATCCTGTGGCTTTGTCACTGCACACAACACAGAGTTCGTCCTTGTCCAAATAGCTTGGTATGTAACCTACAAAACGACACAATTGATAACATTCAGTTTTACAAAAAGACTGTCCATCATTAGAGCAATAACAGATGGTAACAGTGAAGCTCACATAGTCTGCTTGTAAAATCCAACGCTCAGCCACCTGGCCATGAAAAAAAAATTATGGAATAGTATTTGTAGAACAATGCATTGTTACAATACATTCATAAGAATTTTCTACAACACTAATAATAATAAACATAACAATCATACATTTATAAACAGAATATCTCCTCTCTTTGATTTGCTGTGAGGCTCCATTGTGAACGGAACATGGGTAGTTCTACCCCCAATGGGCCTGTCGTGCAGACCTGTCCCAATTCAGCACTTCACTGCTGCAGACTTCGCTCAGACGCCTCAGGATAGCTGGTGTGAGAAATGGGAAGCATCAGTAGAGGGTGCGCTTCTGAGGTTGGAGCAGAGCAGAGGGTGGTTTACACAAGGTCACAAAAGAGTTTAGGATGAAGAAGGTGGATCTCATCCTTCCACCCTCCCATCACAGCATCAAGCAGTTTCTTAAATGTGTCCTTAACCATTCTTCCTGATAAGTGAGTGATACCGACACTGCACGCATGAAATGGAAGAGTGTCATTTCTAATAATGTAATGTACTTCAATTTCAGCACGAAAAGTATCCATTCCCCCCAAAAAAAATCCCCGAAAAATGCTTATATTAGCCTCTAATCTGAATGTTGCAGCTACTTTTTGGGAAGTGCTGTCAATGTGTTCTGACATTTCACATAACACTCCAGTGACTGCTCCACTCAATAAATTATAATTAGTGCAATTCACACAAAGGAAGGTGTCAAACCATTTGTAACACTACACATTTTGATTTTCAATGGAGAATTTCCCATGAAAAAGGAATTTCATTTGTCATTTTTTTTAAAATCAGGAAACATACACAATATTTGTCCAAAAAATAAAGAAAACTGATTATTTCACCTAGTGAAATGCTAGTGATTTTTTTACACTTAAAAATGACCTGGGCTCACAGCTGCGTATACCTGCGGTAGTTGAAAGTCAAAGAACATGTGTTTACTAGTAAATACCTGTTATTTACACAACAGACATAACAATTATAAAACTAACGATTAGCTCATTCCAAGTAACTCACTGAACTTGACAGGGCTTATTGAGTCATTTTTCAGAAGTCTCGAAAAACAAATTTTACATTAAATATGCTGAAACCACAATAAATAAAAGCAATAAATATGCTTTTAGCATTAAATATGCTAAAAATTCTCTGGGACGCTACCCTGTATGAGGTGCGTTACATAAATGCAAGTTGTTTTTGTAACCTAAGATTACAAAAGAATTTAATCACTGATGAACTAGTGCGTGTATGTATGTACATATGTCCACGTATGTCTTTACTCGTGCAATTAGAGCCCATTATAACGAGTTTCTGTATAGTAGGGGTAAGTTTGTAGTGTGGATTTTTTTGTAGTGTGGGTCTGGGTGAACACTTCCAGCTTCCAATGCTGACTGGCTAGTACTTTGTGTAAGGTGTACAGATACAGAAGGCCTCCCAAAGTCGCCTCCCAGAGACACCAGCATGTGACAACTGCTGGGGATGCGTGAGAGCGGTTATGACTGACGGGTCAATATAGTAACAGGGGCTTAGCTATAGTGTGTCTACACAGTTCATTATAGTTCTTGTATTGTTTGCAAGAAAATCAGAACTATTCTTTGTTGCTTTTTGATCTTGGTAACGCAAAAATTTGCAGTGGCACATTTGTTAGATGTGCTCAGTGGGGTTCTAATGTATTTAACAATAGTAGGAATTGGATTAAACTAGATAACATGAACAGCAGCTACAGTATAAGAACCACAGCAGGGTTTATGTTCATCAGCTTTGGTTCATCCTTTCTATACAGTGGAAAGTCATTTCATTTTTTGGCATGAAACATCTAATGTACATCTAATGTACAGCAAGGCTCACCTCACCCACTGAAAAAGTCCTTATGTAAGAAATGAACCAGCTTATTAAATTAGATACAGCCATTTTAGATGGGTAACGTACCTGCATTGATTCTTAAACCTCTCAATACCCTTCAATATATTTAACTCACAAATCAAGAACACATGCAGTAATCGAGCATACATAAGCAGTCACCACACACATGACTGTAGTTCAGTCTCTGTTGGAAGCTTGTGACAATTCACATTTGCTGCTCTAAGTTAATATTGAATTGATTGATATGCACTTTGTTTTATTTCGGGCCATTGTAAAATAATAAAACTGCTTCTTCAGTTGAAGCCTTACTAAAGTTGGGGTGGGTGGTTGTGTTGAGATACACAATAAAATACAGTAGTCGCACTTTTGAGATATCAAGAGGAAAGAAATAACTGCAACCTTCCTCACCAGCTCTTTATTCCAACGCACACTCTGGGGTCCCCAAGCTTGGTTCTTCCAAACCTCCACCTAATACTCTCCGGAATTAGGTAAGCAATGGTGGGGCAGGCAAGGTAGGGGACGTGAAGCAGGCTGGAGCCCGCTGAGCAGAAGGAGCGAGCAGGATGATAGGGGCTTAGGAAGTCGCATAAGTAGGGGGGAGCAAGGCTGATATATAAAAACACATCTGCTGGAGAGGCATAACTTAGGAGTTAAAAAAATTTACAATATGGCTGAGAAACAGAATTTTCACTGAAAATTCCCAAACCCAAGTCACTGAAAATCAAAACCTTGAAGTCTCTACAGTTAACTGGTTTTGATGAGAAATGGTGACCTTAGAATTGAAACAAGACGCCTCTCCAGGGCTTAATGTAACATTATTTGTAGTAACACGCTGTCTGACATTCTTTCCGTGCAAACCAAGGATGAGTATACAGAAATACCATTGACATGAAAGGGTTCCATTTACTGCGGTTAGCTCTTTATTGCCAGGTTGGATTCTTTCTTTGTGTTAGCCGGATGTGACTGTGCACGTATGCAAAAGTCTCAAATGGGAATCACGACGTGAAAGAAAAATGAGCATAAACTGGAATACAATGTTTTTAAACTAAAGGTTTTAGTGAATATATTTTATCTAATACTATTATATACTCACTGTCTTTTTGTAGATTGCAGACTTTGTTCCAGTTGATTGTCTAAACTTTTATTCACTTATAACATAAACCGCTGTCTATAAATTCTTAAGGCATAAAGACTCAATAAAGACATTATTTCCCATTCTAATTTTTTTGATTGTTTTGTTTGAACATTGATTATTGCTAGACACATCAGGTTATCATTGTGAAACACAAAATATTTTGTGATTGTGGTATTAGAACAACTATCTTTCTTTGTGCTAGCCTGGTGTGACTGTGCACTTCAACGCACATATGCAAAAAGTCTCAAATGGGAATCACGACGTGAGAAAAAAATGTTTAACGTGCAACATCTTCAGAATGCGGTTACGACTGAAAAGTGAAGAGTTAGGCTTGCAGTCTGTGTTGTGTAGCTAAACAAGTCATTCTCACTGATTCTCTGAGTTCATGCCAATCCTAAAAGGTTCCCCTTGAACTAAAAGCAACACTGAACCAATCTTTTGACTTAAAGAGATCAGAGCGCTTTTGGATTTATATTTCACAGTTACCTTCAAACAATTAAAATCAATTGGATTTTGCTTATTTTGTAATAAGAAAATAAGAAATGCTAAATGAAAAAAGACCAAGGTCCATCTAGTTCGCCTTCCACCTTCCTGGTGGTCGCATGCACATATGTCCCCAACTACCTATGTACTATATCCAATAATGTTGCTTCCTAAAAGAAAACTGTCTAATCTGTGTTTGAAAGAATCAACACTTTCTGCTTCAACAGGTTCACTATTCACTCACTGAAATAGTGTTTGCGAAGATTTGTTTTGAATTTACCCCCTTCAATCGTAGGCTGTGTTGTCTGGTTTTACTATTCTGGATAAGTTGAAACAGCCTGTCATGATCTATGTCGTTTAGCCCCTTTAGAATCTCAAAGACAGCATTCATGTCGCCTCTCAATCTTCTCTTTTCCAGCGTGAACATGCCCAATACTTTTATAATAATATATTACAGAACACTGCTATATTGTATATTATATATATAATATATGAATGTACAATGTTAATTTGGTCACTCAATCCACGACTGCTGTGAGCAATTGGCTGCTGCATTTCGCCCACAAAATATAGTCAATTTACTTTACAGTATATTCTGTGAAGCACTTTGAGATGTCCAGAAGACCTGAAAAGGTGCTATGTCAAATGCAAGGATTATAATAATAATAATAATAATCCTTGCATTTGATATAGCGCTTTTCACGTCGGGAGGACGTCCCAAAGCGCTTCACAGAACACACTGTAAAGTGAATTGACTGTATATTTGTGGGCGAACGCGGCAGCCAATTGCGCACAGCAATGTCCCACAAACAGTCGTAGATTGAAAATGACCAATTTATTATTGTTTTTGGTTTTGGAGGGATTATTATTAGGCTCTGTGTGGAGTAAGGAAACTTGCCCAAGGTTTCGCCCTCTGCCTGGAATTGAACTCAGGTCTCTCGCTTGCAAAGCGAGTGCTCTAACCACTGAGCTACAGGACTCCACATTATTATATATGAAAGAATATTGACTTAAATAAAATATTTAATTATATTTAGTTACATTAGAATAGCGAATATTTCAACATTACAAATAATTTTAAGCAACTTACACAAGTCCCCTCCAGTATGCACACAGATCACATGCACACAAACCAGGACACACAGATTATAAATCCACAGATTTATGATCTGTCATTCAGTCAACAGCAATATACAAGCATCAGCTTTGGTATTGTGCATTTGAGAACTACACCTAAACAGAGGAGATTCACATGCATAACACTTCAACTGCTGGTCTATTCTGAACATAATAAAAAGGAACAGAAGATTCAAAGCAGCTCTAAGACTAAAGCATACCTTTTTTGAAGGTTGATGACTGGTCTTGATAATAAACATCTGTTTCATCTGTAAAATACTCAGCTTGGCAAAGGCTGTTCATACTTGAGTCCATGTTACAATAGTCGTTCTTGAACAGGTTTCCAGGGTAACTTGAAGGCTGGTTTGCTACCCAGGTGGGGTCCATGCAAATGTTGCTATTGTGCAGAGTCTGAGCTTCATAACTGTTGTAAACTTGGTTACCCCCTGAATACATACAATAACTGGGAGGCTGCATACAGTAATCATTACTGGCTTCTATTGTTCCATCATACCTTTCCTGCATACAGTAGTTCATTTTAACCTAACTTTGGATGCCGTAATTTCACACACCTCAAAATAGATCTATGTTAACTATCTTCTCTTGATGAATAGATGAACATAACACATTGGTTTTACAATACACGTTTGCATATCATATCTATCATGAGGATAAGACAACATGTATTGCCGTACGTACAAAATCCGTTTTATATTCAGATGCTACTAACGCCCCCCCATCCCCCCCCTCCCCGCACCAATTAAACAAATGAAGAAACAGATTTATGACAAGCCAAAGGTCTTAATCTGTGACAGGGGCTAATTCTTTGGAGAGTGGACAGACATGTAGACACTACCACTGGACAGACAGCTCATGGACAAACAACAGTGTCTGTAGCGCTGGGTGGGTCCCACAGAATTGTTGCCTAAAGCACATGAGGGTGCAGAAACAATAAAACTTTTCCTGTTCGTTTTCAATAAAATTCACTCAGCAGCACAAGCACAACCAACAATGAGCTGCAGTTGATATATGTAGAGTTTTTTTAAAAAAGAAATTTAGGTTTGTTATTATTTGCCATCATTTAATCCATTATCAGCCATATTGATTTTTTGAAGAATATTAGTTGAGTGTATGTTCGCACAGGAGCAGAGCTATCCATCCTCACACTTTACAAAATAAAACAATTTATTCTACTGGCTAAAAACAATACAAATACTTGGCTAAAAATAATACAGCCAATGTACTAGGAATTGAATTAGAGAGAGGAAAACCAATGGTGAACTACAGTGCATGTAAAAACCACAAAATGAAATGGTCATTATTGGATTACACTGAAAGACTGCATACAGTACTTGTAACAATCCATTAGCTGTATTGATTAGGTTTCAGAGAATTACCCATATGCCAAATTAGCTCCACAATGGTGATCATTCTAAGAGGCTCCGTGCCATCCCCTAGCAGATAAAAATGTTCATTTCATCAGGTGGAAAATATTTCTGCTTTCCGAATTTCACTTTTTTTTAAAAAAAGGCACAAGATTATTATTAAATTAAACAATAAATAGTTAACGTTTCTGAGATATGCAGTCCAAATACACTCCAGGTGCGACTTTGCAGGTCAGGAAAAGATAATTCTTTTTCATTATTTCTTCGCTGCAAGGAATGTTTGACTTAGTAATACGTCGGCTGCATTGCTCAAATAGCATACTTGGCTGCTTTCCGGTGACAAGTATGGAACCATGCCCCTAAGAAAACCTAGAGGGCCTGTGATCTTATAATACTACACTGATTTAAAAGAAAATCTTTGTAATGGAACAAAGTATGCGTAAATGGCACAAAATTCAATGTCTCGATTACATTAAAAACATCATTGCACTTGTGAAAAGCTTGATGTGAAATGGCTTTTATGAAGACAGTTGCTCCACAAAGAGATGTACAAATAAGACTTTAAAGCGATCAACATGTGACATCTGTTAGTGCAGGGGCATGCTGAGGTAAGGAACAGCTAAATCTTCAGAAATCAGCTGCTTATACCAGTTTAACTTTTGTTATGAGGTGACATCCTACACAATGCGTTAATCTTTTCTATGTCTGACACAAGTCTTGATGTAAAGTGATGTTTGGTTGAACACCTGTTTTCCAACTAAATTGCAGCAACATAAAGCATGAACATGGTTTAATGATGAAGAAAGGAGGGCTAACATTTAAGAAACACACAGCTCTATTTTTTCTATAAACTTTAGTGCTGGTGCTATGTTTATCAGACGACAAATGCACCAGAAAAATACTTTTGGGAAGCTGGCAATTTGTGAGTTTTAAAGCAGTGAATTCAACATACAGAAAACAAACTAAGGTTCAATCATAATGCCACTCAATTAGATTTTTAAAGTTTCCAAACATTCTGCAATTTAAGAATGTAGATGTTAAAATACATAGTTTTGCATCCAAATTAAAAGTTGTATTATAATTATGTCCAGACAAAACCTATTTCTGCTAAATGTTTATATTTTAAGACATTACCTTTACAACTTCTCCCCTCATTTTCACCAGCTGTCAATGTCCATGTTAAAGGCAGCAATTCATTTCTTCCATTGTAATCAAGCTGCAGTAAGGACTCTGAGTGTCTGAAACGGTGGACAGTTTGTGCACTGTACTGCTTTGCTCGAGCCCTCTTCCTACACATCCCCTTTTCAGGAATTCCAAGTATATTTGGATGATATTTGTAGCAAATCTCATTGCAAAAGGTTGTGGACCCAACAGAAACAGGAAAGGTACTTGCGTTGTTTTCCAAACTGCACGTGAAAGGCTTGGACAACATCTTGCTTAACTGTGGCATCCTAGGTAGTATATTCTGTCTGTATTCACTTGATGTGCTGCCGTCCACCTGTATTTCAGCCTCGAAACACTGGTCTTTTTGGTTATCATATTGATAACACATCGAGTATTTCAGCCAAGTGCACTCTGCTTCTATGTTGAGTACTTTGCTCATTCAGTGCCTATTCATTCTATTTTGTGAAAATAAAAATCGTGAATCACTGGCTTCCTAATGCTTTGCTTAAACTCACGAGCTTGCATCCACCTGCATCATCTGGAGTACTTCCACTATAGTGTGAGTCCAGAACAAAGTTTTCAGCTAATTTATTTACTTAGACTTAATGATCATTTGAGGACTTTGAGTTCAAAGCTGGCCATGCACAATTTTCAGATGCTAAGGACGCAAAACAAAATGGACTCAGCCTCAACTGACTTGCCTTTTCGCAAGCTGTCCTGAGACACACCCGGTCACCTCAGTGTGACATCCCTTAGAAACCTTTCACTGGTTCCTGCGTTTCTCTCCCGTAACTTTGAATGAATAGGCAACAGTATGTTGGGTGATTTGACAGAGAGGATGACAAAAAAATGCACCGGTATTTACCGCACGAGAATGGTTTTTGAACTGGTTTGTCATAAGAAATCAAGCATTAGAGAATTCTGTTGAGTTGGGATGAGTAAGAAAGGAAATTCCAAGTTCAATTTTAAAATGCAACTTTCTGGAATTTTCGCTACTTTCCACAATATAAAAGAATTTAAGTACAATAATTATTTTTCCATATTTTTCAATGAACATCAATCTATCAAGATACCACTCAAGAAACAAATACGAACATATTATCTCAACCACAAAAGAATCTGTTGCTTTTCTTCTCTGTTGTTCTGTCATTCCTTTCACTAAAGTTTTAGCATTTAGTTGGCATTTACATTACCTTTAAACCAGTGGAGTTTTCAAATAATGACTTGTATTTTAAAATAAATTCATTACTAACACAGCAGGTTCGCTAATACTTGATATTTTTGACAAACTAATTCAAAACCATTTCTGTGGAGTCTTTACATGACAATGATGGTTTGAAAATGCTGCCCTTTGAAATCAAAATTGTGCTAAGAATCACTAAATAAACTAGCCGTTTAAACTTGCTGCTTGCATTTGCAGACTTCAACACAGTTGTCCTTACAATGTAAAAATAATAATAATTCTTGCATTTGATATAGCGCTTTATCACATCGTCGAGATGTCTCAAGGCACTTCACAGAATATACTGTAAAGTGAATTGACTATATATTTTGTGGGCAAAATACAGCAGTGGCTTACACACCAGAATGAATAATAATTAAATGCAAGGATTATTATATTATTATAATGAAAAGGAGTAAACTTGTACCTTATGTTTGGATATCAAAATGCATTGTTGCGAATAAGATGATTTCCTCTCAATTAAATCATAAATCTCTACCTTAATTGTGCCTATAAGTACGAAGGTTGAATGGCGGATACATCAGGTAGATCAATGGGAATTAGACAGCTAATGTAATTAAGATTCAATTAAGGGAATAAAAACATTTTTAAACACCTATTGATTGACTAACAATTTCAGGTTTAATTGTTCTGAAGCTTTTCTTTGTCAACAGAATCATTTCTGATTTAGTTTTGGATACATCTGTTAAAATAAATGCGCTTGCTGAGTATTGGTACTGTGGATTACAGAGATTATTAACAGCGGGAAACATAAATGCTTAGCTGTTATTGTATTAGTGCATTGCTTAAAATCCTTTGTGGGTAATTGTACTTTATAGTTTTTGAAAAACTGTAAACTTTATTGTAATTTTGTTGCTTATTTTTTACCTCTCTATGTAGGGCTCGTTTTTTGGCCTATGATTGATACTTTCAACTCTTTTTATACAATGACTGTTACTGAAGTTGAACATGTTGGTGTTGTATTGTACTTTGATTAATGATGTTTAGCTTCATTGTAGGAAACCTACAGATCGTTATTGTTTTAGATGGAGTAGAAGTGTTTCAAGATGTCTCTAAGCGCTTCACAGAATATACTGTAAATTGAATTGACTGCATATTTTGTAGGCAAAATATATGGCTGTATGAATGTATGGCTGTAGCGTTCTTTAACGGTTAATGGTACTATGATTGATACCATTAAGACATCAATGCTTGAAGGATTAGGAAGCTGTGTCCAGCAGTGCTGTACAATTGATCGCTTTAGCAATACTTGCGTCTCTTTGTACAGATGTCCATCATTGCAGAAAGCAATTTCTGTCCTTTTGTATTTCTCTGTTCCAAGTCTCGAAACATCAAAAGAGCAAACATAAGGAATGTGATTCATGTAGGAAATGTACAAAGGGAACATTGCTTAGTTTGTAGATAGTTAAATCAGTTTTTCAAAGGAAAATGCTGGATGTACACAGAAAGAATCTCAGTCTCTGAGAGGTAGGTTAGTGATTTGCCAGTGACCAGAAATGGAACAATTGGGTTGAAGGAAGCTTTTACAGGTTTAGGAGAAAATAAAAGACCAGACACCACAAGTTAATGATACTTATTCAGTGCCTTTCATGTTGAATGAATGCCCAAAACATTCAGAAAGATGATGGGAATTGCCAAGCAGAGAACAAAGGAGGGCAATTTGATGGTTTTGATCAGAAGCACAGTCAAAGAAATACATTTTTAAAATGAGTCTGAAGGCCACGAGAGAAGATGCAGGGTGAAGGGATTTCAGAGAGGCATAAATGCACAATGTTTTGAGTTAGAAAAAAGCTGCCTTGATCACTGACCAACATAATAGGGTCAAACATAATTTTTTTTGTTTGGTCTGACACATTCGGAAACCCATCCCAAGGCTTAAGAGTATCCAAACCAAGCTGAGATTTCTATTCATCCCAACTACACACGGAAATCCCAGAGATAACATTGTTGGAATGGAAT